CCCCCCCTTCCCTCCCCTTTGACGACAGCTGTGAGCCAGCTTTTTTTGGTCGCTCATCGTTAAGCCGCATCTTCTCATTGGTTGCTTTTCTTGATTATATTTTTCTTAAGGTTTTCTGAATTTAATAGGTTTGCAATGACTAAATAATATTCTGCACAAAGTGAGCTGAGACAAACAATGTGAATTTCTGAGATTACTAATAAGTTCAATCCTATCCTGAAAATCACACTTTCTGCGCATTTTTCGAAGACCAACGTATGAATGACTTTGACGCCTACTGCCCCTAGTAACGGCTCGTCTCGTATTATTGCCCTCTTTTCAAATTCCTATCCTTGACTTTTATTCGTGTTTCTTTTTCGAGTATCGGACAACTGGGTGCACCGTTCCAATAAGCCATTATCCAGAAGTACTCTCAAGTACCACTCATCGGTACAGAGATGTATTCCTTGGTTCAAGAGTCCGTCCATTAGTTGTGACCACGGCAGATACAGCTACTGATCCTTGTTTGTAGGCTGTCTACCGAAGTAAGTCTTTCAGTTAATCCACCATGTTTAACACCTTCGCAACATAGCTTGAACGTTTCATTCCACGTAGCCGTAGTACAAAAAAAAAGGGAAGAGAAAGGAGTACATAAACTAAGAATTCTTTCGAAATTTTGAACACGCTCTGCATTTCTCCACTTACTTATACCAAGTCTTTCTTGAGAAGTGATCGTTTCACTTCCGTATCTTTTGGCCCTAGGAATCGTGGTAATTTTCCCTCCTATTTTCTCTTGCCAGACTTCACTTTCAAATCTTTTCTTGAGCTGGACGCAGTTACGTTTGCAGCCCACCATGCGACTTTCGGCTAGCGAAGCGCTCAAGAAGTCATGGTTCCACAACAGTGCTGCAGTAGCCAAATCGCGAGTTCATGTTCAACGTCATCTCCAAGCTAAGGTTTGATTCAGTTGGAATCGCAAAATATTGGAAAGTTGGGCTTCTACATTACGTTGCAGTGCTTTGTGCCATATTCACTCTTTTTATTTATGAGAGCATTACAATTATGGGATAAAATTTTTCAATTTTGGAAATTTTTCTGGGGATGCGCTCACACATTCTACTTCCGTTTCTTATAATCGCGTTTAATTTGGTGTTTGGCATATGCAGTGGTTTGACGGTCAGCCGATGCCAGAAATTACATAGTGGTTTCATACATAAGGATGTGTATTTAATAGTATAGTGGATGCGCCAATAAATTTACCCTGAAGGAATGGATGATCTATTCGGCCCAGGCATGTATCGGGCTGAAAGTTCGATGGGTCGGAAGCTTGTGCTTTTCAGAAAGCGATGGAGAGTCCCATTATGGAATGCAGGTACTAGAGAAACTCGAGAAAGCTAAATCCCTTTTTCCGTGTACTATCAATTTTTGTAGATTTGATCTCTCAACTTGCAATACGGCTTTTCAATTTGTTTGTCATAAATTTTTAGGTAATTCGTTTTGATGTATTATACCTTTACCCATAGTTATTTCTATTCTTTGAGATAGGAACTGTAAGGATCAATTCGGTTGTGTTCAAATAGGTTATTTTTCGTTTTCTGGTCGACAGTGAAGTTGAAGTTTTTCTATTATCTCTTATTTGTATAAATGGTAGAAAGTACAAGACGTGCTGTTGTGGCGGATGACGTTATGATCAGTTACCTGTAATTTTTTGCTTTACTCGTCTTTTAACACTAGTCCACTGTGTCTTTGCTGAGTCTTTCATCACTTTTCCACAACATAGACGTTTTTCTCCAACCAATTTTGTGAAATCGAAAGCGATACCTTTGTAGGATAGCACTACCGACCTCAGGCTCTCATTCGACATGAACAAAGCAGAATTACTTTGAGAAAAGAATTTTGCAGAAACCCTTTCATTTCTGATTCCAGATATGAAGTCTATCTGAAAACTGGGCTAATAGTTTTGTAGGAAATAGCATTCATCGCTTATTTCAAGATTAGAACATAATATCGTGGAAAGGTTTTGAAAAATAGGATCAGGGATAGGACTTTTCCTTTTAGGAGTTTGTTAGGTTGTCTCCTGTGTCTGTAAAGGAACGTGTTACTTTATGAATCTGATCATTTGTCTACCATTGTGATTTACAGCTTATCATTATTACCTTGACTGTTTCACTTGATTTCACTTGACACGATGGACGAACAGATTGCTAAAAAAGAACAATCACTTCGTGAACAACAAGACAGTGGGCTTCGTGTGGTCAAAGAAGAGATCGATGAAGAGAGCGGTTGGTTCGATAAGAGATCTTTTAGAACCACCATTATGTTTATTCATTAAGTATTTTTTCCATGGAATTTCTTTGATCTTTATCCCGTGTCAATTTCTTTCTCGTTTCCTTTTTTCTAATTAATTCTTCTTGCTACTATATGAACTAACAATCACACCCAAACCTACCTTTCGTAAACTTATGGATTTTGAAACCTTAAAAGCGCAGTTCACGCTAATTTTAGGGTATCTAGTTTTTACGAGTTGTGCAAGTGACAATCTTGAGTAATACAAAAAAGACGAAGAAATGCGATAATCGGCGTATTCAGATAAGAATAAACCTTCAAAAAGTATAAAGTTGGCGGAAAAGTCTAGGCACTTTTGATAATGTTTTCAGATTTATTTTTTTCCTCCACAAGAAGTGACAGTTACCAAATATACGCACCATCATTATCGACAATATATTGCCACTTATCAGGCAACTTGTAGATCCCGCTTGCTTAGAATTCGTGAAGTCTCGAAAAGAACAACTCGGCGATGCACGTCCCACGTTGGTTCATCTTATCGAACTTCTCATTTTTCGAATGGTTTGATAGCGACAAGGACAGATGGTAATCTATTGTAGCCGAATCCGATGAATACGATGGTTAAGTCAGAACATGTCATCATGAGCTTTGAAATTCCTCCTGGCTCTCCATCGCATTGTGTGTGCGAGATTGTCTTGAGGAGAGAAGACGTTCTGCTGTTCCCTCGTGAAGCTGCAGCAACGCGATCCAGCTGAGCACAGTGGAGCTCGTTGGTGGCAGTGAAGTTTGGTGACGGCAACTTTTGGATAACGATCCCTCTTGAATTCCACCAGACGCTAATCATTGCCTTCTTAGGTTGCAGTTCTAGTTTGGTGGTCGGAACCCCATGCTGTTCACGTCCAAGCCACTGGCTCCCCCTCGTGTCGTTTACGTAGAGGACCCACTTTTCGTCGCCAGTGATTAAGAGATTCAGCCATGCGAAGGCGCCGGAAAGTCAACATGTTCGGGCATGCATCTTCCCTCCTTTGGAGCTGGTGACCACTCAGCTCATGAGCAATCCATACGAAGTATCTCCAAGTCTTCCAGAGACTATGCAAATGGGCCGCTACTGTGTCGTGATGACTATTAAGCTCCAGTGCCAACTAACATGTAGTGAAGCTAACGTGGTGAGCTGGGTAGTGGAATCATGTTCAACTAGCGCCAGGAGGAGGTCGAACCTAGCTCAGCTGGTCTCTTAGATCGTGAGTCTTCGGTCAAGCCAAAGTAACCATTTTCGAACTGTGTGAAGAGCGCATTGACCATCACGGACATGTTTCGCAATACAATTTCTAAAGCAATTCCCATTATTTTACGGCATGGAGACGAAAATGTGTGAAGACTTTTCCGACAACATAATAATAAAATTAGGGTTTCAACAGTAATGTGGCATTGATAGTTCCGTGGGAGGAGTATCTGGGACGAACTGTCCAAATGTTTGTGCCGTTACGTGCAGCTGGCTTCAGTGAACTGCTTGCGTGCAACGCGTACTTTTTGACGGAAATGGTGATCCTCTTCAGACTCTACAACAAAGTGAGAACTCGTTCCCTTTGATTTGTACGTCGACTCAGTAAGATTTGGAGCCTTCATTACGCATTATCTGGACGGTTTTTCGACCCGACAGCGTTTCTTGTGCTCTCCTTGCTAGCTACCGGTCTCTCCTAAGGAAAATCTCGGAAGGAGTTTTTATCGTGAACACTGCCTTTGATTTAAGTAGTGTAGGCAGTAGTAAAGGCTTTTCAGGAGAAATAGCTTTTAGCATAGTAGGAAAGGAGAACGGAAAAAAAGCGTATACAATTATTTGCTCATCCATTGTCTTGTATGGTGTGCTACAGTTTGAAGTGAAGACGCACATGCTTGACGGTTGCCGACAATTAATTTGAAGAAATAAGGAACTGTTGAGAAAACGTGAGCTCGCGAAAAAAAAACTAGTCGTCTCATTCGGAGGAAAGGAGGTTAATGAGCTGGGCTTATTGAGCTTTAGGAAACCGATGCCAATGCAGATGCAGAGTTCTTGACGATTTCGGAAATGAATGACGAGCCCTTTCCATCGCTAGCTGGTCTTTGAGTTATATATTGGCTTCTTCGAACACTACTGAACATTCGAAACAGTGCTGCCGTCGACAGTACATATATCCCCATCTTCTAAGCAGCCAAATTCCGTGACCTCTAACCAGGGAGGGGTAGTCTACTTATCTTGGAACTTTGAATTCAGACCCAGATAAATCGATAGAGGTTTGAATGTTGTTTACGAAAATGGAAACTAAAACTGCAAAATGATTCTCTTTAAAAAGTTATGGGAGCCCGAATTTCGCTCGCTCGACAGTAGTCAATTGTCTAAAGAAATGTCAGAAAAGTTTAGAGAGCNCACGAAGCGAGACCACCACCACTAGGTCCCGTGGGCGTTTGATGTGGAAGCGACGAGTTCGCAATTCCAATTGATACTACTGTCGAGCGAAATGCGGGCCCCCATAACTTTTTAAGGAGAACCATTTTGCAGTTTTAATTTACATTTTCGTAAACAGCATTCAGAACTCTATCGATTCATCTGGGTCTCCATTTAAAGTTCCAAGATAAGTAGACTACCCCTCCCTGGTAAGATCAATTAAGCTGTATAGCTTAATCACCTCGAGTAATTATTCGCTTTGCAGCAACTTATACCAGTTTACGCTCCCAACTTCCGCATGATGGAGTACTCGGCTACGAAGAAGAACCGGCAACGGTAAAAGCTTCTTTCTTTTCATTTGCGATATCTCTTTGTTGTCTCTTTGACAAATGAACACGAATTGAAGGCGTATTCTTTTTGTGTTGCAGACTGAGCCACACAACGTTCCAGGAGAACCCGTTGCGAACGTCGCAGACAGTGTGCGTGTCGGTCAAGCAGCTCGCGAAATTTTTGAACTGAGTCCGCTTGAACGGGTGCGCATGGTTTTTGTTATGTTTTTCATCGATGACGGAAGTGAATTTCGAGTCCAGTAGTGCTCACGAAATTGAGTACAGGTTTAAAAGCAGCTCGAATTCTAGCCACCCGATTCGAGATTCTCTGGTGAGGAAAAAGTGGATCACAAAAGCTAGCGAAACTTTGAATTCCCTGTCCAGGGTATGGAAATGGTTGCTGGTTTTGGAGAGGACGGCATGCAAGAGTGTGGTCTTTAGTGTGCGCATTTCTCAATAGACGGGGGAAGTCTGTTCCGCGCATCCGTCGAAACTAGGTCACCTCGCCCACTTAGTGCGCGCGCAGCACAGCTCACTGTGATCTCGAGAAGACATTACTGTACCACTAAGTGTCAGTGGAGCGAATGATTTGCGCTAGTCCGCATTATCGTATGCCCCACTGACAACTGCGTCATCTGTCAAAAATCGCGGGCTGACGCGGCGTTTGCGACGGCTGCTTCATGACCTAGTTTCGTCGAACTTGCGGAAAGAAGAAAATCTAATGGCTCACTATTGCAAAGTAATATCAATTGGCCTTAATGAGCTCCTTTGTATATTTAGGTGCTATGAACAAGTCGAACCATCGATTTTATAGATTTCTTAGGTACATGTATCTCCTGAGACATTGTATAAAAAACTCACTGAAAAAAACAAGTTCTCGATCCGTCATGATTTCCGGTCAAGAATAGTGTTCTCAAAAATTACACCAAAGATGATGCCCTTTGCCATCGTTACTATTGCATAACAGGGTGCTTGGTATGTGTTTCTGATTATGTCACGAAATTTAACGCTGTCTCGCGAAGTACCTGGAGATGTCGAGCCGAGTTATGCTTGAGTAGATGGTACTAGGATCGATGGCCACAAAGAGGGTGTATTAGAGCCAAATTTGTACAGGGTGAGACATGCTTCAGCCGGTTCCACTTTTTGGGACGGCCTGAATACTGAGGAAAACTGGCAAACATGAGCACTGAGTCAACGGATGGAGATCTGCAGTTAGCAGGCTGCTCCTGAAGTGGGCGGAGCTTACTACCATTTCCATGGCTGTTTTCGTTGTCTATCGGCCGGGGGACTACTCGGCCGGCGGTATCGACCAAGATTCAGTTGTAAACAATGGGCAAGCGCCGCTCCACTGCCTGCGCGCTCGCGGGCCGGCCGTCTGCCTATGAAAGCAGCCCGTGAGTCGATTCCAGGGGAATTCAGAACTCGAAGAAGATTGCTAGAAATTAGAAAGATTTCTGGTGCTTAGCATGTCTAAATAATTACCTGAAGTCTGATGCTAAGTCTATCTAAGATTACGCGCATTCTGGATGACAATGCTGAATGCAAAGGTTTCCTGCTCTGTTGAAAAGTCTTTTGGAGTTTGAAAAAAAACTGGATACACACTCAACAAATGAAGAAAGGTCGAACGTTTGCGGAGCCAAGTTATTTTTCCGGTTTAATTCAAAACAATGTGACACCAAGGGTGAAGTCACCCGCGACGAAGAAGATGCCAAGTATCAAGGTGTGATAAGCTCGTATGTGAGTTCAAGTCGAGGAGCGACCAAACATTAATGGTAAACGAGACGTGCGCCGAGGAGGCATAGTTGACCCCAAAAAATTTGTAGAAGTAGATAAAATTTGTAAGAACTTGTAAATGGGCAGCATAGTATGCAACATCACCATATAATGAAGGTTTATGTATGCAGAAGCGTAAGCTGTGGAATACCAGCGATAGCGGGGTTAGTCAACAAAAGCAATCATGATCACGTGTTCCATTTTTGGACTGTCACCATCATGTTTGAACTCTGAAATTGATGCTTAATTGTTATTAGAGACTTCGAGAACACCGTGGTTACAATGAAAACAACTGGACTAGCGCAGAACTGAAAGCACTCTACGATGGAATAACGTTGTGAGTTTTCGCTTGCCTCCGTTTTGCCACTACATTTCAATATGGGCAGTCATGTACTGGCTGTGGTTGCTGATTTGTGCCATTGCTCAAAAGGTCTTTCGGCTAGCTCCGAGTACCGCGGGTACTGATGAATCTGACAGTTTTTTATTGTTTAACAGAAGTTCAGTTGTTTCAGATACGGTACTACTGAAGACGCTTTGGAAGTGATACAAAAGAATTTTTGCACGACACGCACCTATCAGCAGGTCCTGTGAGTAGTACTTGAGCTCTAAGGTGAACTTGTTGACGCTCTTGTGATGAGCGAATTCAGTGCAAAGGTTGGCGAAATACGGGCTATCAATGTTGAACACAGGGAGGATCGCATGAGAGCGGAAGGTGATTTCTGGTTAGCAACAGGTTATCGAGACATCCGCACCGCTCCTCAGTACATCGTAAAACCGGTGAGAGCTTTAATATACTGAATATGAATATTCACTCTTAGCACCCACTATGGGAAGGGAACTCCCGAAAGAAATCTCTAGTATAAGAAGCATGTTCGCACCTGTCCTGTCTCGCACTTAGTCGACTGGCTCAATTGTTAAACGTACATAAACATTATCAGCTCATGGGCCATAAATTCCTGAATGATAAACCACATCCAGAAAAAGCTCTTTCTGACTCACCACTCGAAAGTAGTTCAAATGGCTAGCTCACTAATGTAGTAATTCATCTGTAATATTGACCAAAACGAACCTGTTATCCCACGTTGCTCTTGGCTTGGACTTTTCTGCTTCCAAGCTTATTACCCGTTATTACCTGTGTTAATCAGACCCACATATTAGGTTGTCGGAATAGTCTTTCCACATTCTCGTTTTCATGTTGTGAAATCTTTGGGGATTGCTTTAAAGCGTTCAATGCGAAACATGTGGAAGTGCAATTCAATACGTCCTTCGCACAATATCTGCCAATATTTCGCAACGGTTATGGAAGAACGCTCAAAGCAGGTCCGAGTGATTCTGCTTTATAGGTTCAGAGAAACGTCAAGCCAAATTGAGCTACAAAAGAAATATGTGATGCGATGAGACTCTCCATTGTCTCTCATAGCACAACAAGAAATTGGTGCCACAAGTCACTTTGAATAGACCGAAAACACTATTTGGGAGACCAGTTGAGCTGAATAATGACCACCTCTGAAACAGGTTGAAGAATTCCAGGTTAGTACTAGCCAGCTGAAACGGAAGCTCAAGAGCCATCACGGCACAGCAGCTGCCCATTTGCATCGCCTCGGAAACATGGAGATTCGGAGATATGGAAAAGTTGTGAGCTGGGTGATCACCAACTCAAATGAAGGGATTCATGCCTGAACTTGTTGATGTTCCGAAGCACCTTCGCNATTCTCTAGGTAAACCACCCGAGGAATTGCCAGTGGCTTGGATCGTAGAGCGTAGCATCCTGACCTCCAAACGCCAAAACTCATCCTAAGAAGGCAATGCCAAGCGTTTGAAGCCATTCGGGAGGGTCATTCACTGTGACTTCCTGCCATCAGATTGCGCTGTCAACACTGAAGTCTTATGCACTCTGTAGAATGGATTACTCTGCAGCTCTACGAGAGAAGAGCGGTAAGTCTTCTTTCCTCACGAAAGTACTTACCCACACATTGCGAAAGAGACTCAGAATGAACTCCAAAGCTTGGATTGGCATGTTCTGGCCCACACCGTATTCACCAGACATGGCTCCAACGAATTATTACCTGTTCGTGTTGCTATCAAATCATCTGAAAAATAAGAAGATCGATGATGTGAACCAACTCGGGACGTACATTGGCGAGCTTTCTTCTCGGAGCTTCAGGAACTCTATGCAAGCAAGATCTACCAGGGGCCTGATAAATGGTCATATCTTGTCGATAATGACGGTGCATATATTTTCTCATTATTAGTTGTTGAGGAAAAAAATAAATTTGAAAAAAAAATTGCAAAATGCGCAGACTTCCCCATAACGTAGTGGATACAAACTAAATTTACAAAGGACAATAACTATTGTGATGAATTCAGAATGTAGGATGAGTTCAATCCAGAACATTCCCAGTTCCATTACAAATGACTCAACTTTACTCCTGGATAAATCTTCTGGACGAAGAATGTCCCAAATTAGGCGTACATCACAACCTTAACCCAGTGTGGGGTTAGACACAAATAGCGCAACGCAAGCGCAACTAGCACTAATTATTTGATTGAGATTATGCGTATGACTATGTAGTCTGTATGTAGTAGTGTTGATTTGATTTACACGAGCAGTAGACATCTTCCAGGGGATGAAGTCCCTTTTCCTCGCTTTATTCGCCTAAAGGATGACAACGTCAACACCGGTTCATGACTGTCAGTACCACGTCTGAAAAAAAAATAGCCAAAAGAATTTGCCGAATCACTCGTCTGTTGTTTGTGATTACAACTACTACTCATTATAGTCTGTGACACGACAGGGGATCAGTACTTCTTCATTCCAGTGTCAGTTGCGACAGAGCCTAGCTGACCATCTCTGAGAGACTTGGTCGAATAGTAACATCCATAAATAATAAGGGGCCACGATAAGTGCTTCACGATCAGTCAACAACATCAGTATTATTCACAGCTTCCATTGATTGATCAGTTCGGGCGGTAATAGGGAAGTTGCTGAGTTCCAGACCTGATGAAGGAAAGGATTGATTTTATGATGGGGCATCGTTGTCAAGCTCAAGAAATATATGTAGAAATAAATCAAGACTTCTTAATAGGAGTCGTAAGCGTCACCTCAGACCAAAAACTGATTGCATTATTCTGTTCTGTCTTTTCTGTTCACCTGCTTCGAGTAGCCGAACCCCTGCCCCTCCCCTCCCTCTTTTGAAAATATCGAATATTTATACATATACAGTAGCGCTCAAAAATATTCGGTCAAAAGCTTCCACTCTTTTTCGTTCATAACTTTTTAGGCGTATTTCACACTATCCATCGTTATTTGATTGTAAAGCAGCAATATCCACATTGTAAGGATCAGATGTTTATATGGCAGTAGATTTCGCTAAAAGCAAAGTTGGTGATGTCTGCAGTTATTCGCACCTTATGTGCGTTTTTGTTCTCCACTGTGTTCGGCATTAGCGATGGTACACTTTACACATGACGAAAAGGAAAAAAGAGCATTCGTATTTCTAGTTGATTCTGAGTCCGAGCCCTTTGGGATATCTGGAGCATGATCAGGTCGCAGGTTAATAGTGGTAAATACTCACAATACATCCATGCTACAAATATCGAAATTTCGCATGATTAGATCCAGTAGGAAAGGAGTTACGACTAAAAAGTTTGACTGATGAATCATTTCACCGAAGACTTTTGAACGCTACTGTATCTAAACCTCCTACTACGGCTGCTATTTTTCTTATTTTCCTCACTTTTCGTAACAGTACATAATCATATACATAATTTCAATCAAATAATGAATGCTAGTTGCATTGCGCTATTTGTGTCTAGCCTCACTTCTGCGTCAAAGTTGTGATGTCCGCCAAATTTGGGACAGCCCTCGTTCAGAAGTTTTATGGGGTTTGAGTCATTCGCACTGGTATGAGGAATGCTCTGGGTCGAACTCTTCTCACATTCTGAATTCTTCACAACATTGTAGAAAGTTTCCCGTTAACAGGGCGGTGCGACTAATTGGTAAAATAGAACAAACTTCTGCAAAAGGCGAGTTCAGATATTCAGTTGTAGGTCGGATAAAATCCTTAACTTCCCATAGTACACTTTAAGGAGATCGACAATTGGGAAGCCGGCATACAGCGCGTGAATCGCCAGTTAAGGTCACAGAGTGATCACGCCGTGCGTACTGTCATTGAGGTACGTCAGTCCTTTTATCTCGTTATAAGTCAAAACCTTGAAAATGTGACCCTCTAGAGTGGTGCTGATGCCTAGGTTTGTTGTCATTTTTATACTTTTCGCTTTAAACACAAACACATGATTTCCATTGCTTTATAATGCTTTCTGTGACATTTAGGCATGGAGATATGATATCGCAATGTGGTCCATTATTATGGGCGCTGAAACCCACACACTCCTAAGACAGAACTGATTAAATGCACTTAAACTTTTACGCTTTGTCCAGCTGTAATTAGTTGCACAAATAGGTTTTCTTGCAATGTGCATCCAATATCTTTCATATAATCTAGGCTCGTTCAATGCCACTTGCAATCATTATCGTGCTGGAAGTGGAAGGACAAAGTGAACTTTTCTTGATTCCACTTGGTCCCTATAGTGACCATACAGAAGGCAATTAAACGTACGGAGAAACAGAATCGATCAAGGACAAAGCTGGAAGGATGGAAAGATCAGCGTTTTCAAGGATAGGACTCTCGAAGTCCAGCGAGTCGATCATGATCCTGGGTGACCTCTGTTGTTGGTGAGAAGGGTTGTCAAGCAGGAGCTTCATTGTTATTTCTATTGTATGCAGAAATGCCACTTCATCTGCAATCCCAACAAACGATGTAAGGTCGAAAAATGCAGGTTTTAACTTGATTGGAAGTGGACGAGCGCATCGCTTCATCGTTCTCTTTGATTAGAAAATTATCTTCATCCATCTAAAATTACCTCCACAAGTAGAATGTCCGCGATATGAGTAGAACCATCGGGGATGCATTCTATCACGTATCAGACTGTAAGGCGCAGATGATTTAGTCTGGAGAATTAACAAAGACGTGTGCTTGAAAAGCATGCCGAAGAACGTACTGAAATAATGATCCTCCTCCTCTTCTTGGACTACCTCGTGGTCCTTCCAGCTAGACTGTACTCGAGCCCACAGAGCCAGACTCGTCTATGAGTGATGCCGACGCTGCTACCCGATGTCATTCTGCTCTCCAGACACCTGCATATCGTCTTTGACTAGAAGGGAACCTGTTGGATTTGCGATCGCATTTTTGATTTTTGAAAACAAGACGCAAGAAAGGCTAGTGAGAAATGGAGGAGTGATGCTAATGGGGACCTGCGAGGAAATTGAGAAGAGACTTTAGGTCTTCACCCGTTCCAACAGGGATATTTTGAAATGTCTGTAGCATGTTGTTGCACATCATGCCACTAAAACTACATATGTATAGATTTTATTGTCAATCTCAGCTTCGAAGCTTCAAACACGTTGCAATGAATAGGCGCCCATGATCTTGAGACGCTCTGTACAATGAAGTACTCATGATACCTTGCTCCCCCTTCCCACAATGAATGCTTTTTTATAGTCACAAAAATGGCCACTCATGTTTCGTTAAGACTAAATTGCGTTATATTCTTGATAGAATACTTTGAAGATAGCATTGTGCATCCAAAACCGCGATGTTTTCCAGAATGCTTTGATGACAACACCGAACGATGCCGAAACTCCAACTGTTTATAAGGTGGGTATTCATGACGGGGTTTCCTTGTATCTAGTAAAAGGTTTTCTGATAGTTTTTACATGTAAGTATTGAATATTGGCTATCCCATGGTAATCCAGATGCATTCAAATACTTTCTAAACGCGTGACGGTAATCGTCCGAGCATTTGACAAGAGGCCGATTGGTCGGGTTCGGAGAAATAGTTTTGGTACTTGACCACTTGATTGAATTGACCTTCCCATAATGAATGCATATGAATGCACTTGTCCATTTGAATTGAAATAATGTACATATACTCTCAGTGCTCTATGTATTCGCAACTGATAGAATGAAATCGATAGCCATCAGAGCTAGTGAGTCCCTATAGAATTTCGTTAAATCCACTAGGCATGTAATATCGGTTGTTTTGGTTATGAGAGTATGTATTCTAGGGAGCCCTTTTATATGTAACAGGCGGCTACGCACGCACTCGCATGCGCTAGGGGCTCTAGCCATGAGAAACGGAGCCACGTGAGCTGATTTTCATTATAGACCTTTATCGGATTTGAGAGTTTCCGCCCAAACGCCGCCCCTTGTGAGCGGAGTCTGGTCCTGCACCCCGCCATAAGTGTTCCCATCCTGTCTCCAGTACTCCTACCAAGTTTGAACTCTCTGGGTCTATGGAAAAGGAGTTATGAATTTCCGCCCAAACCCCGCCTCTTGTGGGCGATGTTTGGTTCTGCCACCAACCATAAGTTTCCCCATCGTGGCGCCTGTACTCCTACCGAGTTTGAACTTCCTAGGTCCATGGGGACAGGAGTTATGGATTTTCGTATATAAATGTAAGAAGGGATGTGAGCTTCGAGGCACGCTCCGCCCATTATGGGCGGGCCTCCGCTGACGTCATTTATACTGGGGACACCTTCGACAATGCTTCTCCCACATCAACTATTTCCTGCTCTGCTGGCTTTCTCCAAACCGGGCTATAGATGTTTTCATAAAGCATTGCATTTTTGGAGAACGCCCCGCCCATCGGGGGTGGGTCTCCCCAATTCGATTTAACTTACCAATACACACCTCTAGCCACCTTCAAACCCCAGTTTTGAAGCCGTGTTGTTACTGAATTTGAATTCGTGGTCCTCAGTGCAGCTCATTTCGATGCACGCCACGCCCACTGTGGGCGGGGCTCCGCCAAGCTGATGTGTGCTTTATACTTCTCGGGACCTGGCCCACCCATCCCACACTTGACCCGGTCTCTTCAGGCAGATCTGAAGGAGCTAAGGAATTTCGTGACAGACATACAGACAGACAGACAGACAGACAGACAGACAGACAGACAGACAGACAGACAGACAGACGGACAGACAGACAGACGGACAGACAGACAGACAGACAGACAGACAGACAGACAGACGGACGGACAGGCGGACAGACGGACAGACAGACGGACGGACGGACTAAGCGCTTTATAGTAAGTAGGATGGGCTTGGTTTGTCTGTTCATCGGCTGGCATGAATTTTTCCGGCTTGACTGCTGATAATACTTGGTAGGGGCATTAAAATAGTATGCCCTTCTTATATTTTTACGCGCTCCCTCAGTAGAGTATTATCTTTCATGTGTATGTGGGTATGCAACGCGATCATGCTGTCATTATGGTTGCGGAAAATAATGGCTGTGTCACCTGCTGGTAAGGTGCATTAGAAGAGAACAAGGTGTTGGATCGGTTCTGAAGCCACATTAACTGTGGTGGTATGGTGCTTGAAGATGCAATTCACGTTTGTAGGGTCTTATTCCTTAAGATGAGGCTGTGACCCCCACGGGTTCGGCATCTTCTCCTCAAACACGGCGTCGCACCTGCCAGCTATCGCAAAAATGAGATGGCAGATCGGAGCGCGTTATCTGGGGTTAAAGAACTCTTCAATTATCTGTATTTGCTGGTCACTTTTTTCAATCCTTATGCGAGCTCGATGGTTGATCATAGAAAAGGAGCTATCCCGAATATTCAGGTCTAATGAACATAAAAAACAGAAAAAAAGCAATCAAAACCAATCCAAAAAGGAAAGGCGATAAACGAAAAATATTGTATCTTTTATGTAGGTTTGCGGGGAGGCGGGCTTAGTACGGTAACCTCATTTTGAAGCCATGAGACAACTAAAAAAGATTGCCACAAACCGCAAAACGAACATGGGAAATTGGGAGAAGATCCGCTACTCGGCATCCACGGATAGCACGTGGAACATAGGAGGGTTGATAAACGACACTGACAGGGCTTTATGAGGACTCTTAAATCGGCTTAGCCGACGTACACACACAAAAGTGGCCGTATTATGATGGCCTTGTTAAGGCTGCGTCAGACAGAATGGAGCTTTAAGGTGCCGGCGAATGCTACGCCTGCATGGAAGACAATCAGATGGCTACAGACACATGTTAGGGTGGAACACCCCGTCTTGCTACTTTTTGGAGATTGCAATTGTCAATATCCATCGATTTGTGCGCTTCAGTCGCTATTGTTGCGCTATTCTGCATCATAACTTCCATTATTTCACTCAAACACGCAGTTCACGATAATTGTGGAGTGTTTAGCTCTAGACTAATATGGAAAGGCGATATACGAGAAGAATGCCAAAGTGGCGAAGAAATAGCGAGAATCGGTGTATCTGGGAAAGCTTCTCACTTCTTCGAAGGAGCAATAAAATTAGGGCAAGGACAAGAATATGATGGCTGCATGGAAGAGGTATTTATGTGACCTGTCCAAATGATCATACATTGTGTACATTGAGTAGAGTAAGCATCCTGTGTACAACGTGTGCGTCCTTGGACGAATGTCAATCTCTACAACCATCGCCATGAGAACTCATGTGCCTCGGCCTTGTACGTCGGCTATGCTGGCTTTCGGGCACTTATTACGCCCTTTTACCCGACAGCGCCCGTGTGCTGTTCTCGGGGTCACAGGTTTATGGGCTCATCCTAGGAATGAATCTCAGGGGCCTTTTTTACTGTGCCCTAGACGATTTTCTTTCCTTTTACGAAACTGTTTGTTAGACGAGGGAAGCCACTGGAATACTTGCCTTTTTCTGTCGAAGGGAGAATATTGCACAAGGGAAATCAATTGCAGCATGAAATGCTCTACCGATAGTTTAGAATCAATAAAATAAAGGAGAAGGATGCTCAATGTTTCTCAGTGAGTCACTCAAGCAGATCATGAGGATATGTACATTTTCATTACGACTCAGGTGACTGAATATCGTCACGGTCGCAGTTACGGTAAGGAACAGTCAATCAGTTGGCAACGTCTTGGCTCTTTCTTCGCTGGAGTGGTTCGACATGTTCGCCCTTTGCCGGCTTTGAATGCTCTTGGTAAGTGTCACTTGACTCATTCTTCAATATTCTTGGAACTCGTGAACAGGGTCAACTCAAATTTGCTGTCTACTAACTTTGCAGGAGAAGTAGATAATGATAGTGTTTATTCTCTTGTTGTAAGATAAAGTCACTGAAAGCTAAAAATTGTACCAAAACCTGTTAGAATGATGAATACAGTTTAACTTCGAGCACAATCAGCTACGCCGCGCACATGCCACGCGGCGCAGCACAGTGTGCAATTTTGAGTGCACACGTTTGAACCATGCAAGCGTTTTGCGCTTCGAATTATTGCGCTGCAGATCGAGTTTTGATTCAATGTGGAACATGTAGGAATTAAGAAATGAGGCACTGAAGCGGTGAGTTGATGAAGATTTTAACGAGAAATGCGCAGAACAGCTGCAGCACAGTTGTATTCATATGTCCGTACTTAGAAAACAATTCTAACCGCAAAGCCCTGCGCGGCTCAAACGTGGACATCTTGAGTGGCAGTGGGCGATGCGCGACGTGTACGGCGTGGCCTAGTTTCATCGACAGTAGGAACGGTGCGCATGCTCAATCATCGAATAACTTCAGAATGTGCTGTTGCTTTACGAATAGTCGACGATGTTGAAGAGGAAGTGTCTCGGACTCTTACTGATGAAGACAAGGCAATCATACGTGGATGGCTAACGAACATTCAGATGCGCCATTTGAGCGATTTTCTCCCTGATACACCATATTCTGTTGATAATGCAGCTAAAGTATGTTGTCATGGAGATATTATTCTAGTTGAGGAACTCAACATCGCTCTATTTCAGATATTATTGGATCCTCTTCGCACTCGTCTTTGGAATATTCCTGAGCAAAGTAGTGATATCGAAATAGGCTCTCCGAGTGTTGAAATAGAGGTTGACTGAGTGGTAATGTATTGATATAATCTAATATTCTCGACGACCTCTTTGCTCTGTAAAATCGAATGAAGCTCCTTATACTTTTTGGCATTTGTCGAGAAATTTAGGTATTATATTATATGTAACGCGCTTGCGTCTGCCTATCTGTTTGTTTGTTTGTTTGTTTGTTTGTACGGGAAATCGACATTACTTGAGGAAGCACCTGCCGAAGTCAATTTAGTATGGGGTGGGCATAGGGCGAGACCGAAAGAGTGCATGTGAGCTCAGCGGAGCTCCTCTCGCAGAGACGGATCATGCGCAGGAGTGGGCGGTGTCATGGGCAAAACTTCTGAATTAGGTTTCATTATAGCTCAGACGTCGGAAAAAAATGAGCAGAGATGAGGGGTGTGCAGGCAAGCGATGTGAAAACGACTCACAGGCGGGGGACGGAGTGTGGTGCAACGAACTCGTAGAGGCCAGAATAATATAGATGTGGTCTAGGACTTATGCCTGCCGGGCGTGCGTCAACTTAGTAAAGCTCTGCCCAACTCTCCGCTCGATGGGCTTGACGAGGAAGCCACTTTTTAAACAAATAAATAATTCTGTCGAAAACGATTAGAATGCGGAAAAAAGATGGTTAGAGGTGATAGAAGAAATGTGGCTAAATTTTCGAAGTGTAGGGGGTTTACCGTAAGGTGGGAGAGGCTTTGATTAAAAATTCATAACTGTATTAAAAACGTCCTAGAATGCGGCAAAGTTGTGTCTGGAGGTAATAGAAGAAATGTGAGCAAATCTTTGAACTGAGTCATAATTGACTAGTTGAACTGCACCAAAAGTTCAGACACTGGATAATGAGCAAATGTTAGAAACAGGTCAACAGATAAGACGAAGGACACTCATTCGCGGTGAGCCAAGTGCTCCCGAACTTTTTGCATGAACTCATAGTTCACTAAAGCCTCTACAGATGAAAAAAATACTCTGTGGTTGACGCGTTGTTTGTTGTGACGCGTAGCCCAACTGGTATTTGGACGGGTAGGCATGTGGATCTCAGATGTGCTAATGTACGATTGAGAAAGTCGGGACTGCATGAGCTCACCCCTTTCTTTGTTGCAGTTGGGAAATTACAATGAACGTTTCCGTTTTTTTTTNTTTTTTTTTCGAATTTTTCAAATTAATGTCTACGAACCTCACTCTCACCTTTACTTATTTGTCCAGTTCATTTGTTATGGAGAACATTGCCCTAAGTTATTTTATTTCGTTTTAACAGTCGGGTAAGTTTTCTGATAGATGAGCCGAAGAATGAATATAATCTGGCGCTTATTGTAACATATCCATCATGTGTATTTGTGACTTCCGCATTTCAGCCGCTATTTAAGTCGCTGTCGGATGTTACAGATCCCTTCACCATCCGCTGTATTGACGAATCGCCTATTCGCAAAGAAAGCATCAATGTTCCGCACGGAGAGACTGTTATTAGTTTCTGCCTTCATGATCCCTCGCACCCCACGTCACTTACGAATGTCAATGCTCCGATGTTGAGTTGAAAATCGCAGTGGACCAGAAGCGTTGTCCTTTTATGATCCATCATCAACCGATATCTGGTTATTTTTGTCACAAAGCGTATTGTATGATGCCGCCGCATCCCACATCCCTCACAAAAATGTCAAGGCCTCAGCAAGCGAAAGGCACATTCGTTCCGCTAACCCTAGCTTCCTATCCCTGCCATTTGATGTCATTCACAGTAACCCACCTTTAGTGTTTTCAAATTTCCACCTGTGTCCTTTTCGTATTCGAATAAACCGACCAGACCATGTTACGAATTTGTCGCGTCGGCACACGCATACACGTACACACACAAGTCGAATTGCCCGGTTGACGCAGCTTTCTTCCTTTCTTGTTAAGGTTGGAATGTCTCACTGGCACTTATGATTGCTCCTCTTCTTTCTAAAAATATGAGTAGATAGTAGCAGCTCCATATCGACTAGTACAAATCGACACTGATCAAAATCTGTTACCATTCTCGATCGCTACTTTGTTCTCAATATATCCTACTTTATATAATACGCTAAGTGTGTTGGTGTGTCGGTGTGTTTGTGTGTGTGTGTCGGTGTGTGTGTTTGACCGGAAATTCATTATCCCCGTTCCCGTGGACATAGAAAGCTCAAATTTGGTAGGAGTACACGGGGCTGCATGGGAACACCTATGGCAGGTGGTAGGACCGGACTCCGCCCACAGGAAGCGGGGCGTGCGCGATAGAAACTTTGGGCCGCAAATTCATAACTCCTGTCCCCGTGGACCTAGAGCTTTCAAACTTGGTAGGAGCACAGGCGACAGGACGGGAACACTTATGGTGAGTGGCAGGACCGGAATCCGTGCACAGGGGGTAGTGTTTTGCGCTGCAATAGTCAATTTGGCCCTAGGGCATTCAAACTT